GGAGTGGGTGTGGTGGGGGGGGGGGGGGGGGGTGGGGGGAAGAAAATGGTTGAAAGTGTGTGTATTTTTTTTGTAAGTGGCAAGGGAGGTACACGTTTACAGCATTTGCATATACCTGAAAGAGTTCTTTGGGCTTTTCTCCTTCCCTCCCTTCCCCGGGTCTCCTCCCACTCTCCACAACAAAATTCCCTTCAGTCCTCGGTTGGCATCTCTAGCTCCTGGCACAGCTGGGGCTGAGACTGCGCTCTCAATGGTTAGAATATGAATCCTCATCCCGCAGCTGACTCCTTCTTCCGTGTGGAAGAGCATGATTATGCTCTGAATGCCTCCCTAACAATCTGCATGTGGAATCTTATTCAAAATTAACATGCATTTTGAAAATAGAATTAATTATGCGCTACGAGCAAGTACAGATAAAAATAAGTAAAACTATTAAGCTGTTCGTGTGATTTGACAAACCTCTGCTTCTCCGAGAGAAAATTGCTTTAGCCACCATGCAAGCCCTGCTCTTCTGTACGTGGTTGCACGGAACACGGTAGTGGCTGGAACTGAGAGTAGGGAATACCCATACTCAAGAAAATAGTTCATAGTTTTTCTCAGCTGGTGTTCCCAACTACTCCTGGGTTCCCATTCCACTTTAAGGTTATCTTTAAACCATTGGAGGTGTTAACATTTGTGCTCTGTCATACCTATGCATGCCTTGCTCTGTAATCTGATGTGGAAAACTAGTACGGCTGACGACAAGTATCCTAAATTCAAAAGAGCTTCTACAGGTCATGCCTGTGCAATATCAACAGTGCCAGCAGTGCCAAACTTTCAGAAGTCACCTGGTTCTGGAGAATGGCTTTGCGTTTCAGTTTTTTAATTTAGTATGTTTTGTGTGCTTAATATTCGCTCAGGATTTCTTCCCTACAGCCATGCAGGCTATAAGTATCGTCTTTAAAAAACAAACAAACCAGATTTCTGTCAACTTCAGAAGTTAGGACTCGGAAGACACCTCCCCGTTGCACTAATGTATCTTGAGGTTCATGATAAATCACGGCTTTACCGTACCTTATCAAGTAGACCTCATGGGCAGAGGCAGACCAGAAATTTTTCATCTTAAGAGCAGATGAACACAACAGAGAAAGAAGAAAGATTGTCTTCTACAATGAGACTTTTAGGTTAAGAGCCATATGTATTTTTAATAGATTCTATTGTTTCTGTAAATAACATCAGCTTGTGGATGAGACACTCCAAAGGTAGAACACTGATCTTCTCAGAAATGTAAGACAGCAGATCAAAGGCTACACATAACTCTTTGTATGGTTGCGGGCGATCTACTTTATTCAGTCCGTGATGGTGATTTAATCACATTTTTCTAAAGACCAGGTAGACTATTACCAAGCAAACTTGTGTCACTGTTTTACTTCAAGGTAAGTATCGAGATGATCTAACTAGGAGTTACCTTAAATCACTAAAATATTTGTGTCTTTAGAGCAGAAAGTAAGAGCTACTGTTATAAACTGTCAAGGTGAAAGGAAATTCAACAGCTTGCTCCGACGGGCCAAGAGCATGTCATATCCTCACCACACACAAACTGATAGGATGCAAAGGAAACGTGCTGCACCGCTCGGAGTTTGTGGCTGTCTTAGAAATAGCTTCTTGCGACAGAAATACTAATGGTAATGACTGTTCTTCGCCAGTTTTTTCTAGTTATGAAGATGTAAACTGTTCTGCATGAAGAGTGTGCCTTTTCCTGCTGGCCAAAGCTGCCTGGTGGGGAGCCTCAGGTAAAGGACAGGGACCTACTCCTCTTCCCAGAGGAGAATCCTCAGCTACATTTGGATGGTTTGGGCCAAGAGGCTTCTCCAGCTTCAACAGTGAGCCACATTCCATTGTGGATGCTATATCTTTGGTTTTTGAAGGTATGATTTTTTTTTTCAGTATATTTCCAAGGTAGAATTCTTAAAATTCTCAACGTGTGTTTTGGTTAATGCCACATCCTTTTATTTGAGCTTTATTAATGCAGTCTTGTGTCTTTTCAAAATGTGGTCCCTAAAAGATCATTTTCCTAGCCTGTGTCCTTGACTATTTTACCTCTTTCCTTTATCCAAGAAACGTACGTCTTCACGTTCAAGACCCTTTCATAGCTTTCATCTGTTTCCTCATTTTCCCTATCAAATGGTTGGTTTATGCTTCTGATGAGCTTCTCTTTCAAATCAAGTATGCTGTTGCTCCCCCCGCCCCATGGAGCAGCTTCCTATAAACATCTTCACAACTTCAATCCTTTCAAATGCTTCTATAGAACTTTATAAGGCCTTGATGCCTCTGAATTCTAACCAGAATTAGAAACTCAGATGGTTTTCTATCAAACGTTGCCCTGCCTTTTGCCCACCCCAGCGTCATCCTTTCTTAAAAGAAAAAGTTCTCACGAACAGGAACCAATTTTTCGTTTTGTCTTTGTCACAGCACCTTTTGCAACCAGTTTTTTGGCCTCAGCTGGGCAGCTACGCAGTGTCGGCATATCACAGCTACCATGTGCTTCTGGGCTGTCCTTTCTGTGCTCCTTAGCCTTGTTGAAGTGGCCTGATTCTTCCACCCACTCAATTTCTTTAACAAGTAATAGTATAAAATAGCTCTGGGTGCGTGAAACACTGAGTTTGAATACAATTCTTAAAAGTAAGGGTGTTTTTAAGTAAGAATAAGAGTATTTTTCAGACGGGTATTTTCTCGGAGTGATGTTGTACCGGATCTATACAGTGTCCTTGTATAGCCTATGAGGTTTATCTCGGAACCCTGCTGCTTTCAGACTGTTCAGGAAGCTGTTTCCTATGTACTTTACAATTTTCCAAATTTTTCTGAGCTTCACAGTTGCTTCATTTTCATTTAGTAATAGCTGTATAATAATAAGCTTTCATTATCATTCTCAAAATGGCTTCCCTGGAAACATGTTAAATAATATGTCACTTCAAAGCAACCCCTTCTCCCGTATGCCCTTTAACAAAGAAAACTTTGTCACCATCATTTAAACGTTATTTTTTCTAAAGGGAATAAAATCTATCCAATGCAAGAGTAAGCAGATATTCCTCCCCCCTGCATTTTTTTCCGAGGGGAAATGTTTCCTCTGGGGGCTTTTCCCTTTATTTTTCCTT